GGCCGATCCCTTCCGTTGTGGACACCTCGTATTAGGCGTCGAGGGGAGATGCCAGTTTTCTGTGCTAGGCAGCTCCGCAGCTCTTTCAGTTGTGGTGTTATGTTTTCTCAGGGTTTCCTTGACACACTCGATCCCCCTCTCCAACCTCCCCTTCTCCACCTTCTTCTTTCCTATCTTCACCTCTCTCTCTTGCTCTCTCTCTCCATCCACCTCTTTAACCCCATCACCTCGCTCTCTCCCTTTCTCTCTCTCTCCCTCTCTCCCTTTCGCCCTCTCTCTCTCTCTCTCCTCTCTCTCTCTATCAGTTTATCCCCCTCCCCCTTCTCTCTCTCTCTCATCTCGAATTCTGGCAACTTAACAATAACAGTCGTTCTTTTTCAGACGCCCTAGCTCCCAGAACACATGTGTTTCGTTCGTCCACTGTCTGCCTACTGCCTACGTCACAGATTTACTCACCAATTCACCGAGGCTTTATTCTTTTGATTGCAATGTTTACCTTGTTAAGCGACTCGTTACGAACCCAAAAAACCCCCCTGTTTAGTTTCTTTTCTAACGGTGATTACATATCTTATTTCACAAACAATATGCACATTGTTTTCTTCTTCCTCTAGTTTTCTCCATTCTTCTCAAAACCCGAGCTGGCTTCAGACGTATCGTTGCACCGCCCTCTCTCTGAGGTCAAATCTGCTCCACCCATAGCAGACAGACTTTTGATTGTGCTTTTGTTTAGTTTTGTGCCCGTTTAACGCCCTTTCCTGCATGTGTTCCACGCACAAGCAGGTTATTCCCCTTTTCAAAAGAAATCTTTGCATTGTTTTCGTTTTTCGTAAGGTTTTACGGCGCTCGCAACTGCTATAAGGTCATATGAGCGCGCTCTTCGCATTGTGAGGATTTGGGGGGGGAGGGGAGGGGTAGTAGTGCATGTTGATGGAGCTACATGAATGCAAGCATATAATATGCACGCTGGTATACTCATACACGGACACAGATACATGCTCACACAAATATACACGCACACACGCATACCTATGCACACATACACGCGTGAGCACACATGCACACACACACATACACACTCACACATACACACAAACACACCCGCGCGCACACGCATACTTATGCACACACTCACACGCCCACACAAACACACACATATACACACACATACTCACAT